TTACACACGCAATATTTGTGTACAATCGAAGAACGTAAAAATATTAATAAAAACATCGAATAGAATACTATGTATACTAATTCACTATACAGACGCATTATTTACATTGGTCCCTTTTTCTATCTATTTTACAGATTTTACAGGCTGACGCGCGCCATAAAATATAAACGATCTCAAATCTTAGCGCCATTTTTCTGTTTGCTTTTTATACAAATATACATACGCTTAGATTTCTTTGCTAACATTATAAATAATTGTTCCTCAGACAGGTACGGTTTATTCTTGATGACAGGAGTTATTTATTTGTTTTAAAGGCACTACATTTAACTTCAACAAATAATTAAATAAAATTTAGAAACTTCAAAAGACCAAATTTAGATAATAAGAAATTGAATTAAAACTAGTGTTATTGTTTAAATAGATTAGAAAACAGCAAATTCTTAAATATTTCCTAAAATAATCAATGAAATATAAAATGATTAATTACCTGTTTTTTTAAACTACACATTTGTATGTATAAGTGTTATTATATTACCATTGCGAATTTTTCATATACTTAGTATTTATTGAAAGAAGAAAAATACTATATCAGTTCTTCCCTACATTAATAAATTGACGAAATTTAAATCATTTATAACTTACATTTCCACGATTAAAAAAGTTTATATATGTACACGCACACACACTTGTAACTTGTTCGAATTCATTATTAATTCAAATAAAATAGAAGGATACTAAATGCATACTTGATAAAAAAAATTAAATATCTTTAACAAAGTGTAACATGACAAAAATATTTAATTTTTTTTTTCTATTAAAGTTTAGTGCATTGCTACAAAAACTTTCAATATGTTCGATTAATTTATTGCAGATTAAAAAAGTTGTTTGATAATGTCTGAAATACGTTTGTTTAAATATTAAAAAGACAATTTTATAAATCTAGTATCAAATTTTTGATTAATATACGATAAATTTGAAGGTACCATAAGAGTAATTATAGAAGAGTTTTCAACCCAAAAATTTCAATCACTAACAATAAATTAAAAAATTAGTAGGTAAATATAAATTAAGAATTTAGTGATATATTCACTCGCCGTCAAAGAAAATTGATTGCACACTTGTTCAAATGAATTTTTTTCTACTTGAACAATTAACATTTTTAGGTTAATTAATAATCAAAACAAACAAATCAATTATTCCAAAAATGTTCCCAACAAGAGGGGAGTACTTAAAATTTTGGCGCGCGTATTTACCTCGATTTAAATCCTCATTTAAAAATGTTTCTCCTTCCTTAACTGTAAAATGCTTTAAAATAAGGCACAAGTACAAACAAGGATCAAAACCTTAATTGCCTAACACAGTTTTAAACATTTTTTTTCTTTTATAATCAATTATATTGAGTGATATTTTTTATGCACATATAATTTCCAAGTACTTGAACTATTCGTAACAAATTGGTTTCTATTTTTTAACTGTCTAAATTCTTTATAGCAATCAATCGATCGATCAAAATCTTGATACATAATGTAAACTATTCAGATCTCCTTTTATTTTATAAATAGAGGATTAGTTAGGCAGTCAGGATTATCTGAATTACTGACAATTAATCAATCGATTGAAATTTTCATATACAATAAATTTCAAATGTTTTAAATGTGCCTTAATTGTATAAACATTTAGTAAATATTTCAATGTACCCTCTAAAAGTGGCATTATTTACTATTCATTTAATCTAACAAAATCTTAGATTCCTATTCCCGCATGTTTAGTGCCTATTCTCATTTTTATTGCACATGTATTTTTCATTGTTAAAACAGTTTACTACATCAGTCAATAAACAGTCAACGACATCCGCATCCAAGGACGGCCATGTCCTGATAATTTTTCAAAACTACTTTATTCTCTTCATCAAGATAAAGCATTGATATTGAACTGAGCGCAGTAGGTACACAGCAAGCTTTTGGCACCATGCTTGGCTTTGTTGAGTAAACCAAATTTTGAACAATTGCATGATTGGTAGAATTTAAATGATCCGCTAATGGGAAAGGGCAATCACCATGACAATAAAAGGCATCATAACCAGGAGGAGCAACAATCCAATCATTCCAACCAACATCTGCGAAATCTACATAAAGCGGATGTCGTCTGCAGTTCTCGCGTCCATCTTTTCGGCGAGTTTTCCGAAGTGCTGCTCTTCTAGCCCGACGATCCATTATTTGGCTTGCAGAGGACATTTTATACCTAGATATTAAATGTTTTTAATTTAACACTCAAATAATTTATTAATTTTACATTAGAATTTGCCTTATGTGTTATATAATTGAGTTTTTTTGTATAAAAATCGCTGATAAACGAATTAATTATTAACTTAATGAATTAAAAAATAAATAACGAAAAGAACATCAATAAATAAATATAATTTATTTTGTTAACAATGGAAGTTTCAAATCTAAACTGGATGTAAAAATATTGAAAATGAATAATAAATACAAATATTATAACAAATTTATGAAATGAGAAATTAAACTTAACAATTAATGTTATAAATGTGAAAAACGTAAGAGTAAAATTTGGCTATTTTTTTATCTAAGAAAGTTAAGAAAAACTATTTAGTACCTGCCATCATCTGTATAAGTAAATAACATTGGACGGCTAACAACCCATGTATCGTTTCTTTCATTTGTGCCTCTTTTCAATCGCACATGCTCCTGCTTAGTTCCACGTACATGCACTAGAAGTCCATGATTATTTTTTGGATCCTTTATCCATCTTTCTACCGCAGGATGAACATCTAGGCTAATTGTACCATTTTTCCTAGTATTTATTGATTTACTGTCAATTAAACGTAATAATGGAGCACTATGTCCTTTTGCACCAGGACGTAAAATGTCGTATACAAGTATTCTACCCAATTTTGGGTTCAAATCATTTTGGCTTAAAATAGGTACGCGAGAAAGACTTAATTCTGCAGCTTGTAATTTTTCTCCTGAAGGTATACTACTTAAGTCAAAAGAAAGACGAAACCGATTTGGAGATTGAAATTTGTGATCCAGCTCACTCTCTGTGTTAAAAAAATAAACATAAAAAATTAAAATACAAATACTATGCCAATGCATTAGTAGTAATAAATTACTCAAATTAATCATAATCATTATTGTTACATGTAAACATAGAATATGTTTAAAACATTTTTATAATTACTAGAAGAACTTCTATTTTCAATGGTTTATACGAAATTTTACTAAATTATTTTATAAACAATACGTAATTATTATTTAACTCAAAAATATAGTATAATTTACAATTAAATTAAATTTAATTTCAGAAATAATTTTAAAAATATAGAAATAAATATAATTCTGAATATACTTACCAACATGAGAAAAGGAGCGTACTGTGTTAGCAGATCTGGCATGAATTCCTGGTTTAGCAATATCAGCCATACCAATTGTATTTTGTTTGATAAAAAGTTTTTTTAATGACTCTGGAACATAAGCTGGACCTTGTGGTTTTGGTCTCTTAGCAAAACCAAGAAGAGATAAAAGGCTAGCCTCGATTCCAGCAATTGCTTGTTCACGTTCACCAATGGCAAAATGTTTGGCAGTGTCAGAACGTAGATGCAAATGAACATTTGCTTTGGTAGTTGCCAGCAGCAAACCTGCTGCAACGAAAACCAATCTCAGTGGCAGCAACATGCGCATTGTGATGTCGTTGCTCACGGATGTTGCCTCCCTAAAAGCATAATTGAAATCTTTACTTTGCATTTGAATTATATATATTTTCTTATGTACATTTATAACTTGATTATGAATCTAAAATTCATAATTTAATTATTATTTTATATATAATTTTGTTAAAATTGCGAAGACAGAAATTTTTATATTTTTTCCTGCAGTTAGATAACTATAACTGTATAAAACAAAAAAATGAATTTAGTTAAAGCTATATTTATTTACATATGACTCAATGACTACTAACATCTTAGTTATTATTAAATTTAAAAAAATGACAGTTTAAATATTACATTTTTATGTAAAATAATTAAAAATTGAAAACAATATTTAAAGGAATATTATAAAAATGTTATATAAATTTATTCATAATCTGTGTGGCTACAAATAATTTAAATATAGAATCATTATTTAATATTATTACATTAAATGTAGATTATAGTTTAAGCATTTCCAACTTTTATTACATACAATAAAGACATTCAAACTGTGTAATGGTTCAAAACAAATTTGAAAACCTTTAAGACAAATGTTGCAATCCATTATAGATGCCGATTGATTATAAGATTAATCTAGCCGCAGATTTTCAACGCATGCGTACTCAAGAATCCCACGTTTACTGACTTAAGGTTGTTTTACACGAAATAAGTAATTTACGTAAATTTGAAACCGCAAGATTTTTATTCCTTTTTAAAATTATAAAAATATCATCAAACAATGATTATTAAATATAAAAATATTCAAATATTGTGAATAAAAATAAACAATTAAAGCAAATTAAATGAAAACTTAATTAACTCATTAGTAAAGCATTACTATTATTTCCTTTATGATTTGTAGTAACCAGTATTATAGTTGCAAATGCAAATATTTAAAATTTATACGTTTTTAAAGTTTTACTGTTCAGAGCTTTATGACAAAATAAAATGTACATAGCAATTATATAAATACGTGATAAGACAGATTATTGAATCTAAATTCCATGCTATATGTAGTATTGTATTTTATATTATTATATGCTATATGTAGATATAATACCTTCTCGTGTATAATAGATATTTTTTCTATCCTTTTGAAAAAATGTACAGAATAATTTATAATACAGAATATTCATGATGTCAATATTTTCTAAATTATTAACGTTGTCAAAGGTTAACTATTTGTGTATTACTAAAAATCATAATACAGTCATGAAGAATTGGAAAAATAATACCTAATAATATAAATAAATAATACAATGAAACAAAAAGCATGTACATAATCTGTTGTTTCTGTATTGTAACATAGTATATATTAATAAATTATTTTCGGAAGTCTATTTCAAAAACATAGTCAGTAGTTGATAATTTATTTGTATTACACTGTAAAAACATAATCTCACTGAGTTGTTACATCGATTTTTTAATTGCAACTATTACAATGACAACTAAATAACATTTAATAATAGATAAAAAATAATGATAATTATATTTAGTAATTAATTTATCAAATGTTACATTGAATTTATAGTAACAAACAATTTTTATGCATTTCATTGCGACTTTATCATACCAAAAAGGAATACATAGTTATAGTACGTATTTAAATTCAGAATATGCTTTCCATTATTAACGATCTATTTTAGTATTATTGTATATAAATATAAAATTCGATATGCTAAATGAATAAAAACATGAAAAATATAGGAAATGAAACTACAAACATAATACGTGGTATCTAATGAAAAATTACCGCATTATTACTTAAACATTAAAAGAATAACATCATAAAATTACAAGTATTGCAATTTAATATTATTCATAAACGTTAGTTACATTGCCCCCATACATGGTGTACATATCACATTAATTACATAAAACGTTATTACGACTTATGTTTAAAAGAGGTGTAAATGTATGATGAAATAGAACTGGAAAAACATACATAACATTTTAATTCCAACATAAGTATATAAGACGGATATATAATTTCTAATGTGCTATAGGAATGCAAGACCACCTAAAATATTCGACCTAACGCGAAACTAACAACATGCTACATATTAGGTTTGTACTTAAAAAACCACTCTGCTTCTAAGAAATGAACTCTCTACCTGCTCTTTACGAAGAAAATTATTCCACTGCCCATTCTTCGTCTATTTTTTGAGCTTCTCAACTTAAAAACAATAAAAATAAAAAACAAAACAGTGTGAGAGCAGATAGGAAACTGTTTCGAGAATAATTAATGAAAACTTTCCACTTTTATTACATGGTACTATTCTCG